GTACGATCGATAAATATCTGGATGTTCTTTAGTTAAAAGATAAAAAAATATCGCGGCATATGCAACATGTCGGACTGCATTTAACGCGATTACACGCTTCCATGGACGATTTTGTCGAGCATTTATACAGAATGCTGATGCGAGAGGTGTTCTGCCGCGTGACGGACGGTCGGACGGATGGGCGGCGGACGCATAGAAACGCGGAGAAGACCCCCGGAATAGGATTAAAGGAGCGGCCGAGAAAGAGCGGTCTCTTACCGCTTTACCCTAATACGATGTTCCGGAGCAGGAAAGCCGCGCGGAGCCGTTTTAAGAGGTAGCAACAATGGGGCAACAATTACTTTATTTTGACTTCGCGGCCGGCTTTTGCGCCCTTTGAGACGACCAGCGACTCTTTGTTCGCTCCTGCATTTGATGTCAATCGTGAAAAAATCACGATGGAAAAAAGTCCCCGGCGGGCATGTATTTATCCGTCTCGTTTCTGCCGAACCGAGAGAGATCGGTTAGGTGACTCCCGCACCGCGACAAATGGTTTTCGGAATGCTTTACGCTATTCGCCGAATTCTATGGCGGTAGATATTCTTTTCTCGTTCTCTCCCCCTTTTACGACTGCGAGATTCCAATCAGATTTTTCAAATCGAACGCAGAATAACGCGTTCACCTTCGGAGGCAGTTCGATTTGACAGAGATTTACAACGTGAAACTGAAATCGGCGCAAAATTGGCAAGGGAGAAACGACGACGGGTTGTCGGTAGACGGTTGTGGACTCGAGATAATAGTCCCTCCGTTGATAATTTAGTAATAATGCTAAGATTATTTAATTACTTAATAACACGTCGATAATAGACGTGGAAGAAAGATACAACGGAATGTCATATTACGAAATAATGACTCGAAGAGAAGCTACCTGCAAAGTACCCCCGCACGATACTTCCCATACTGCAAAATATACACGGAAAAAACGAAATAGCTACCATAGCTAAGAGCAAGTTCCCACAGGGAACACAGTAAAAATTACTTGTCCATATGATACAACCGAAATTTAGTGAATTCATCTCATTCTTTTCGTCCTCGTACCTAGTTTTTAGCTCCCACAGCTAAAAGCTAGATCTGGTAAGTAAATTTCAGTTGTATTATACGAACAGCCATTTCCTTCCTTCGTGTATTTAAATATATTGTAATATAAATATATAAAGATATGTATATATTATTTTTTCTACATATTTGATTTCCCTTCCTATACGGGAAGCTCCGAGGATTTTTCAGTTCCAAAACGCGCTCGGCGCATCTCGGACGGTAATACACTGGCAACGTCGGTGACGACGAGCCAGCTGGAGGAAAGAAACGCGACGGTCACGTCGGGTCGCGTCCCCGTATACAATGCGATATTAATGCGAGAGATCGGGTCGGAGTATGGCCGCGGAGAGAGCCCGTTTTCACATGGAAATTCATGAACTCGCCTCTCAACGGCGATTTCCACGGACGCCGCGAACGAAATCCGTATTTTTAGAGAAAAAGTACGGGGCCGCCGTTGGCTCCGGCCGCACGTAGCCTCCGGACGACGACGACGACGACGACGTTGAAGGATCGCCCTCCGTCCTCCCATCGACGCCCTGCTTTGCACTTGAATAACCCAATTTCGGGATGGAGCGAGCTCTCCACCAGCTCCGGGGCATCCGCCACCGGGGGCTCCTCCACCACCACCGCCGCCGCGTCCGCAAACAATCCATTCGACGAAGATTTACGAGCTGAATTTTATCGCGCGCGCGTCTCGCATTCTTCGCCCGTTACATACGCGCCCGCCGAGAAACTTCCTTAATGCGGTCATACTTCCTTTTACCTCCTCGCTGCCGGGGAGAGATTCGTAAAAGGAAGATCGCGCGGATGGAGGAAGGCGGGCTCGAGACGACTCGAGCTCACGAAAGGTAATGCTCGTTCTTCGGCCGCGGGAATAAATATCCCCCTTTTCTGGCGCGGCCTCTCGATACCGCCGTGTGCATCGCGGGATATTCATATTTCCGCGCTCGTTAGCCGTGCCAGGCCGCGGGAAATTCCGTTCACGAGCTATTCGCGCGAGATATACGCGAGTATCATTATTATGTCGCGCTTTTATACCGAGAACGACCGCGACACGGAACGGGCGGCGCGCGTCTCATTTTACGCAATCTCTCACTTTATCGCTCAATTACCGGGGGAGTTCCGGCGGAGAATTTGCACGGATCGTCGGCGGCACCGTGCAAGTTCGTGAGACGCGTTTCACGTTTCGGCCGGGGTTCGTCGTTCGTTCGTTCGTGTTTCTCTTCCTTTTTTTTTCCGAGAGGGAGAAAAAGACGCGGCGACGTTTGAAAAATCGGCCGGCATTGAAAAGAAAACGGCGCTCCTCGGGGTTCTCGAGTCTGCTTTGCACCTGAATGATCCAATTTCGTGGTGAGTGGTGTTTTACGGTGCCGTTCGCGAGAAAACACGGCACCACACCGGTATGAGGCCCACCCCGTGGTGTTGTTGCGCGACACGCTCCTTTGCAAGTGAATAGAAAAGCACGGCGATGCGCGCGACGCTCTCGAGAGGGTCGAAATTATCCCGACCCTCCCCTCCCCCCCCCCCCNCCCCCGGGGCAGAACGGCGTTGACTTTTTTCCACGTTTCCTCATGGTGAATCAGCCGTGCGAGCGCGGGGTCTTGCGGCTCTCGTCACAACAATGCAATTATACGCCTGCGAGATTGCAGTGAGATTTCGGGGCGAGAGATCACGTTCGATTTCGGGGGTGTCCGCGTAAACGAGCCGTTTACAGGCTCTCGCTTCTTTTCAGCGTCCGACTTTCCGACTTACGACGCTCCTGCGAGGCGTTCACATTTTTACGGGAGCTTAAATGCCGGGGGAATATGCTCACGACGGGTCCGTTTTGTAACGGCGGATTGCGATGACGATAATAATTCGATTCCCGCGAATGTCGCTCTCTCGAGTATTTCATCGCATTGAATAAGTTATATTATACAAATTGTTTACACTTTTATGTTATGCAATTATCTAAACGATTAAAGATTGCATAATAAAATCATTTTATATAAATATAAAACGTTCAAAAAAGACAATGATAATAAAGACAATTATATTATGAAAAATCCGCGACCGAGCAAGAATTGCACACTGACGCGATGTCTGAGAAACGTTTCGCGATTTGTTAAACGCTCCGCGCTTATATTCTATTGTTCGTTCAAAAAGCGAGTGAACACGTGGTCGAGGGGCTATTAAGCGCGATGGGAGTCCGTATTGTGTCGCGAGAGGGAGAAACGTGTAGAGCATAACGTCGTGGTAGCTACAAAGTGCGTTTTCGGGATGAGCGTCGGGATAGTACAAATGCCGTGTTCATTTTTCAGTAGCCGCGTGAGCCTGCTGGACCATTTTTCAAAGGGGAGATTATCCAAGCCGGAGTGTCCCCCCCCCCCCCCCCCCNAGACAGGAGACGATGTTATCGTCCCTTAAAGGATGAATTTAATCGATAAGGATCTGCAATTAAACGCTCGCCGTTTTGTCGTGACGGTCGGAATTAAATTTGTAATGTGATTATAAGCGAAAGCAAATTATATACAAGGAAATAATTAAAATAAGTAATATAATAATGGAAAAATACTCCCCAAATAACGTTTCATCCGTATATAACGGAACTGAAAAATAATTAAGCGATTCGTCTCAAATTAAGGCTCAGGAGTAGTCGCTGTGATTGTTCTTGTTTAATGACGTCAGAAGCGAGAAAATACATGCCAACATTTCTTACGTTACACTTTCAAAGCGACCAGCGATTCCGGAGCCTTAAAATGATCCTTTACGTAACGATGTTCCTATCTGAAGTTTCCTCTTCTCTCGAGAGCGATATATCGCGTTGTCTTACGTCTCACGTTTTTCTTCACCGTATGCACAATCTAAATTTATATAAGTGAAAATGTAACGTGGAGAACCTTCCGGTAGAACGACGAAGGGAAACGACCTCGAGTACGTCCTGCGAACCAGGAATATGTCTGAACATGACGTGGCGAGATCGTACGGCGCGTGATCGGTGGAAATAAAAAATATACCGAACATTTCCAACCTCTGGATGGCACGTAATCCGTTCTACGTTTTCCGCACAAGTCGCGGGCTCTACCTCTGACATGGATTTATCCGCGAGAATTTTCAATCGCCGTAGGAAGATGTGCTCACGCGTTCTATCATAAGTGTATCCTTCACGATACGTCGCTCGAAATCGTTTCCGAATGTAACCGTTTCGCCTCTTTAGGAACCTCCGTGTAGGATATGCACTCGTCCTACCCCGCCAGCTGTTTCCGATCCGCGCGTTTTGGGAAGTCGTTACCGATCGTACGTCACGAGGCGACGAGAATACTGCGATCTGAGGAGATGCAACGCGAAAGTCGGCACGAGTCCGAGGTCTGAATTCGATTCGCGCTCCTACAATGTCCATCGTCTCGTGAACAAGATTCAAGAACTGAACAGAAATGTTCAAAATCTCGAAAAATCGAAATATGATCAAGCGGTAATTTATTGATACACAATAAACAATTTTGTGTAAATAACAGTCTGCTGAAGTTGTTTTTGTTACATCAACGTAGGAATATGTCACAAATATACAAATACATGTTAAATGAACATACTTATCTTTATAAAATAACACAAAAATTTCCGTTTTTCACACAAAATCTTTTACTATGTAATGAATGGATGGATATACTAAAAAAAAACGGTAATATAGCTGTGGCAAATTTTAATTTTATACATATAACACTTCTATAAAAATTTAGGAAGAAGTTGAACAAAAGCACACATTGGAGCAACCAACGTTGGTGGATACTGATAAAACCGATCTAAAAGATGCTTACGATGCGGCGGAAAATTGTTTGTTAGATATAGAAAAGATCAAGACATTTCTGGCGGACCAGAGCTCCTGGTGGAAAATGCTGAGAGAGCAATCGGTTAATTGTTGTCAGGAAAAGTCGCCGCATCTTCACGGGATTTTGAACGGATCATCAGTTACTTTGATGTTGTACGAAGAAGGAACCGACGAAGTACAATTTATCTCAATGTTCTGTTCATTCGGAAGCTCAATTAATTAAAAATCTAATTTAATATAATTTAATGCAAAATTAAATTTCAATTCGAACTTAAAATCAAATAAAATCTAGTCAATAATACAGATTTGTAGGTTGATGTGTTTAATAAAAAACCGTGATAATTTAATGATAATGATAATTTCGGAGAATAGGGAGGAGAAATTAATGTAATTTCCTTGATAGATACCGCATCGTTCCACGTCCTCACCAAGAAAAGAGACCAATATCGCCCATTTCAGCTTCCAAAACTCTCGAATTTCAACGAAAGAACGGACGAGGGAAGCGAAATGTAGGGAGCGATGCAAGAACGGTCCTTGGCAGAAACGCACGGAGGAGTACACGGTTCCGTGTTACAGCATTGATATGAAATCGACGTTGATCGAGGTTGGAAGGTAAATCTCCTGTCTCCTGAGAATTTCTCCGCGATTCTCTTCCTCAAATCTATCATTCCCTAAACGACGTTTCATATCGATATATTCGTAGAAACGTTCGTTAAAATTTGTCACGTAGGAAAATATGTTTGATATTACATCTCGAGAAGGATAATTTCTTTCCTAGCAGCGAGAAGTACGATCCGACTCAACGATACGTTGAAACCGCCACTAGAAGCAAACAAAATGCCGTTGCTTCTGACATTTGGACGGAGGCGCAGGAAGACAGAAGCGACGAACAAAAAGCGCCGGATCAGTCATACAGATCGAAAGAGATGCGAGACAAATCACAAGAGAGGAAAGAGAAAAGGACCGAGAGGTCGAATGGTAAAATGTGATCGCGCGATCGTCGTTAAATGAATAAATATAAATGCATTAAGTTAAGTCGAAATCACATTCGAGACGTGGTTTTCAGTTACGCCATCGAAAGAAGTACGGCACGGCCAAAACGCGGAGACGATGTGTGAAGACACGTCAAGGCCCCGAGAAACGTTCAATAGCGAGAATACCGGAAACACGAAACACATCACCGCGGATTTCACGTCGAACGTAGACCTGAACTCGGCATGTCAGATTTGTGTCATTCGCGAATTTCTTTCCCCGATATCCGCCAATTATTATTATTTTCTTCTGCTTTCAGGAGTTACCGTCCGGAAGCACGACGAGTCATAAACCACGAACGAAAATGGTCACCGAGAAAATCATTTACCGCGTCCAAAAGTCCCCAGCGAGAGTTTCCAAGAGCAGAAGCAGAGACTGACATGTTCGCTCAGAGCATTTTTCAAGGATACCTTTCGCACATAGAAAAAAGTGCCAGATTCAAATAAACAACCACCTCAATACTCTCCTTAACAAATTTTGCACATGGACAAGCAAATTTACTTTAATTAAGTAAATTTTACTTAGACCAAGTAAACACTACTCGAATGTAGAAAAAAGTACTATATTCGAGCAATGTCTACCTAATCCAAGCCAAAATCTGCCGAGGAACACTGTAGTAACTACTTACTTAAATCTAGCACTTATTTTCTGCACAGATATTTGAAAAGTGTGATCCGGAGACATAGTCAATATTTAAAAATACACATATAAACATCACACCGTGTGACTAATTATTTCTTGTCTCATACGTTTCACACGGTTGGCCCACATGCACATATCGATTAGACCCATCGAGTTTCACGGCGTTCAACTTTCCACGTTTTTCTTATCGCGGCTCGTCGGTCGTATATTTTTACGCAGCCTCTTCACCGTAACCGAAATACTTCATAATTTCGGAGGCGTATCACGGGGTTCTTAATTTTTTCAGGGATTTCTGGAAGGGATTCTGGCATGCTTACAAACGCCGTTCAAACAATCGGGAACAAAAGCAGGTTAGATTACGTCACGGTCTCTTTGTTTCCGCGCGCTTCATTATCGATTATCCGTTGCGTATCTTACGCGAATGCACGCGAATCGATAACATTTCGTTCTAAATTCATCCGCCGATCGTGTAGACACGCGAAATGGAGAAGGTCCTTATAATAGCGAGAAGCCCAGCCCCTGCTATCGATAACGGATTGAAAATGGGTTCGAAGACCGTCGTGATCCTTCGTAAACCAGTGCTGCCGCGATCTCCGCTTCCGACTCCGAGCACTTCGTCCGAATACACGACTTCCACGCAAAGCTGAGCCTGGCGAGCGACACATCGCACCGAGGAGGAAGAGAAGTAAACGCAAGTTTTAAAGGAACTCCAGAATTCTCTATCTCTCTCTCTCTCTCTCTCTCTCTCTCTCTCTCTGTCTGTCTGAAATTTGAGATGGAAGGAAGAGAGAAAAAATTTGTATCTTTCAACAAATCCGCTTATGTCCCAAATACCGAATTATCGGAAGCATCTTCGAAGGAGGAGAAGAGTACATCAAGGACTGACGAAGAACAGCCCACGAAGTCATGCAAACTTCCGGGGAGGATTAAGTTATCCTCCTCCAGAGGCGGTTGTTCGAAATCATGCGAGTACAAAGAAACCGTCGCGGAAGGGTATGCCGTGCCTCTGCGCTGTTTATTTCGTAACCGTTCTTCTTGTCACTAAACTGCAGTCTCGATTGAATCGATGTCCTCCTTCTTATTATTATCCTTCTTCTGTATTAAATTAAAAAAATTAACGCTATACCGAAAATAGCTAAAGATGAAATTAGGCAGCTAAAAGTACTAAAATCAAGAAGTTGTTCGACGTTCATTCAATAATTCCCAATTATTTTGACTTCTCGACGGAGTCTAATATTCCTTCGCTCTTATTTTTTTGGGAACACTATTTTGAGTACGACCATTAATTATTATACTGAAGGAAAAAAAGTGTTGCGTTCAAGAAAATATTTTCTAAGGAGTATTGGAATAGTTATTTTTTCTTAAGTAAATATTATAAGAGTAAATTAAGCAGATTAAATAAATATTGCTTGAACGTAGCGTTTTTTTCTTTCAATATGTAACTTCAAGTTCGGTCATGTCGATGAGTATCGCAAAAACTGCGAGAGACACGCGTGCACGCGCACGCAAACGCGCAGCGTGTTAATTAACGAACGCTTCGCCGCGCAGAAGTTCGCGTCGAGTTCTTTCGAAGGTAAAATCGCGAGACCGTAGAACACCGATGCCGATTGTGCGCTTTACTTATGTTTTCAGTGCTCGACCGTCGGACTGCAAACCGCAAACGTTGCGTGAATCATCGTCCGGTGAAAAGAAACTCGAGACAAAACCATTGGCGAAGACGCCACTGTCCGACCAGGTGAAAACGAAACTGAAAGGGACGTCGGAGAAGCTGCAGGTTTTTTTCCCACTTCTCCTCCTCTCGCCGGAATATTTTTGCGCGAGCCGCGGAATCTTAATGAGTGACTTCCGACAGAGCACGTTGCCGTTTTTCGAAAAGGCGACAAAGCGCACTTTGGGCAGAATAAAATCCTTCTATCTGGATCTGAAGGACAATCTGAAGGCGAAACGAGCGCTGGGATTCAAGTGCGACTTGAAGAAGTGCGACAGCACCTTGGCAGAATGCAGCGCGAGGTCATGCATGATGGAGGGCATGATGTTCGACGAGCCAGCTCATTCGTACGATCCGGAAGATTCGTTCGATTCCAGCGCCAGTGATACTTCTTTGTCCTGGCACGAGCGGGAAGGATCGCAAAAACTTTGCCGTCGTAACACAGACGCGCGCTAATATCTCGTAATTGTCACGATCTGTCGCGATTTTTTTCCTCACCGACTGATTTCTCTACGACTTGGAGCTCGTTGAGAGAGTTAATGTCGAAATATTCGGCTAACTCAATTCCAAACCCGAATAATAGTTCGCAAAAAATAATCTGAGAAATAATGATAAAATAATCGCAATCGGAGTGAAAATTAGAAATAAAGAGAGTACGAAGAAGTCGCATGTACTGGCACAGCGTCGAGTGACGTGAATTTCTCGGATTTTCGGTTTAAGGCTTCTGGTTCCTCGCTAAAACTGTTCTTGATGATGTCAGGAGCGAGAAAACTTATTCCAAGAATTTCTTCGTCATACGTTCAGAGATAAAAAGATATATCCATACAATGACATTTGTATCGATTTAGCGCACTTGTAAAATTGTCCGGACGCTTTTCTCTCACTCGAACAATCAATAAACAGTCGCAAAATTAACTCGATGTGGAACTTATCTGTTTAGCATCTTTTCTCACAATTTTATTAGTGTTAATTTTACGACAAGTTATTGATCGTTCGAGTAAAAGAAAAAGTGTTCGGACAATCGTGTCATTTCGTGAGTATAGTTTTTTGTTTGAACGCAATAATTCTTACACATTATTCGCACACATTTTCTCGCTTCTGAGGTCGTCAAACAAAGACAGTTGTGCCGAGGGACCAAGAGCCTTAACATCCAATCTTCAAGACCCGGAATTAACACCGTAACCCGTTCATTCGAACGAACAATGTCGACAGATCACCGCTCGAACGGTCGTCGTGATTCAACGATTTGCGGCATGAGCGCCCCCCGCCACGGTGAAGGGGGCGAAAAATAAATAAAATACGAGATTGCCAGGTGCTCTCCTTCTCGAGAGACAGAGAGAGAGAGAGCATTTACGTGGGCACTAAGTAGCGATATATCACCGACCGGGTATTCAGAAGGCAAATCGACTTTTATTGCTTTATAGTGCTTGTAACCCCGGCCGCACGCCATTCCGAGCCGCGCATGTAATCTGGATGTTAAGAGCTCATTATTACGGGGCCGGCACACTATTCACGATCGGAACCCCGAACCGACGAATGAAACTACACTTTGATAGCCGGATATTCCAAGCGTGATATTTTCCACGGACTCATGAGTCACCCGAGCCGGACGAGGCGGAGAATTTGTCTCGCTGTGTCTCCGACACGATGCAATTCCTCTCACGCTTGCTCGTTGCGTATTTAACGTGCATAACCCTAACATTTGTTTAACATAGTTACCTGAATTTCTATAAAAGACTGAATGGGGTTCTCGAATTCGAGGCGAGCGTAATATATATATTCAAGCTTCTAAATTGAACTTTGTCGGGCACCTATCGCGACTAAGCGTTCTCAACTGAAACTTCTTCGAATCCGCTTCGATTAATCCGTCGGAGAAAAATCGTCCCGTCGACGTATTCCCATTAGACCTCGAACGTCTACATTCATAATTTAAGACGATTCACGCAATCTGTCCACCCACGCCGAGGTCCCTGACACGCTCGCCCGTATAGATCGCATAAATCGCGTGTTTTCCTTCTTATTGGCTGATTGAATAATACATGTAACCGAATAGTATTAAACCGGCCGAGCGGGACACGCGAGGTCCATGACGCCTGTCATGTCGGGCGGGTCGTGCGTCAGCATTTTGACGAGTTGTTTAGGTCGATCAATTTATCGTTTAAGATACATACACACACACACATATAACACGAACGAACGAATAAGCGTTCGCGTCGTGCCTGCCGTATTTCGCTGTAGTCGATTCGAGATTAACGACGCGATGTTGAGATAAGATTGCGGATTTATGAAACGGCGTCCACCGGCGATTTATCATTTTATATCTATTACGTGTCTATCTTAATGTTATTAGGGGGCGTTATTCGATTACCGTCACGTTTCTTAACTATTATTTGCATTCATCGTATTCGTATTCCCGCGGAGAATGCCGCGAGAGGACCCCAACCGGCAATCACCTCGCGACAACGCGAAGATTGAACGCCGTCCGGCGAAGCGTCGGGGAATTTTCTCGCGATTTTCCGAATCTTCGTTCTTTCTTTTCCGTTTATTTCTTTTTTTTTTCCTTTTCCGTTGCGTCGTTGCAATCTTTTTTCGCGCGAAACGAAATGTTATAGTTGGGTCGAAGCTGCCCGATGGCCGCCGACGTTCATTGCGCGAGAACGGAGGAGTTACGGTACGAGCGGAACGTCGGAGTTTAGCGAGCAATATACAATTTCCATTACGTTCGCACTTTTTCGAGCGGCTCAGGAGGAGAACGTCGGATTCTTCGCGGATACGATACTTCTCGATGCCGCTCTCTCTCTCTCTCTCTCTCTGTCTCGCGTGTAATTTCGCGGCGGACTGTACTAAAAATATTATTATTTCGACGCGCATGAACGGCACGAGAGGCAGAAAGAAGTATTAATGACGGAGTATTACACGACGCGTCGGCCGTGCACAAAAATCGCCCGCTAAATCACCGGTCGGCCACCTATAATCTCGCCTATTCAGCGTAATTTATTACGCATTGATATTTACAATCCTTTAGGGTTAATATCTCTCTCGTGGCGTCGCGACGATTGGCCGCGCGGCCGGGATCGCCGGTAATGCGAAACCTCCTCGTTCGCGAAACCGACGATGATCCGCCGTGATTGCATATTTAACGCGCTCACGCGCGCGCGACCAACAAATTGACCTTTCTAGCGCCCCATTACGAGACATTTGCGAATCAATCGCGGCAAGTGGGCGGCGAATTTACATTTAATTACGGT